GGTAGCACACATAATTGTGTAGCTAGGGTTTTGCATACAACTATTTTTCAGTGTGTGAAATACTTGTGCAAACAACAAAAGGACCAAATTTAAAAGAGTGTGCTGTACTTGACTTTATATTCTACTTCCTAATACTGTTCTTTTTTTTTAAATGATCCCTGTTAGGTACTTATTGCCTGTGGAGTTAACGGCTGCCTGTTATGTAGTAGGTAATTCAATTCAGACAAGTGCCCTGAATATGGGCATAATATGCCCATTTGTTGATTGTCTTTACTGTTATGCACAAAACAATCTAATTATAATTTAAATAAAAAGGGACAAAAATGTATGTTCACATATCTTTTAATTCTTACTTTTAGTGTTATGCATGTTTTTGAATCAGCAAGAGTCTCACACCCTAAAACTTCCTCAATTCTAAGCTTTTAATCTTATCTTAAGTTTAGACCAAATAAAATATTTTGACTGCTTTTTAACTATACACAGATAATAACCCATGTACAATATTAGTCTAAATTGCTACTGCATTTTAAATTTCTTTTCTTATTCTATCTCTTCTGGAAATGGATGATGAAAAAATAAAGAGAAAAAGTCCTAACCATCACCTGATAGACCCCTCCAAACAGTTGTCCCAGAAGAGTAAACCTCTTTTCTCTACGCTAATCTTTCTCTCTGTATGTTCCCTCATAAGACTATAGTTGTATGACCCTTAAATGTTTTAGTTAAATTTTGCAGAGTACTTTCTGATTTATTCAAATCTTTCATAAAAATCAATTATCAGAATGGTAAAGCTAAGTACATTATTGTACCTATTTTGTATTCAAATGCATTCCTATTGAAACTCTGAATGTCAAGATTGTCTCAAATTACTGCCTCTTAGAGTTGTGGAATATAGTCGAGTCTCTGTGATATGCATGAATCAATATGTTTTTTATCAAAAAAAATTAAAATTCCCTATGTGTCAAATGATATGAATTTATAATGCTCTGAAATAAAGTGCTTCATAGAGCATGGATATTGCTAGGAGAGGTACACCCGTCATGCCTGAGCTATTAAAAAGAACAAAGCCCCTCAGCCTGTCACAGTAAGAGACAGAACAGGTAAAGATGTGCATTGCATCACAAATACCTCTTTAAAATTAAATAGATGAGGAAACCATTACCTCGGCAAATGATGAAAACAGACATCTAAAACAAAAGGCACAATAACATACTGTATAGGTCTGAGTGACTAGAAATAAGACCAGCATATTTGAGGCTGACATTTTCTAGCTGAAAAAAGAGTCAAAATAAGCCTCAGAATGAATCCAATAGTAATGAGGATCTGCTACTCTTTCTAAAATGTGGAGGATTAACTAATGACTCTGACCAAGGGAAATATCTATGTTTTAATTCAGAGAATAACTTATTTATTGACTTGGACCTATATGAAATATTATGCATCAAATGGAACAATTATAAATAGTTTTAAATAGCTACATATGTGTCTGATTTGGTCTAATAATTTGTATTTTACCTATAGCACTAAAATCATCTAACTACCTTCCTTACAAACCGGTTTCAAACTTGTTGACTTGATTATCTTTAACGAGTAAAACTCAGATTCAAATGTCACTAAAATAAAGGAAGAAACTAATGAGAATGGGAATGGATTTGTTGAACACTGGATAGAGAGTCCCCACCCAACAAGTGATACCTCAATTTAACAAATTTCCAGCCTACAATGATGTGGGTTTGATGTACTCTCAGTGGAAACCAGACTACAAAATCAACGACCTTCTGCCCCACCTGTCCTGTCAACTCTCTCCAGAGCTACCAAACCTCCCTCACTAGTGTCCATGCACATTCCCTACTCAGTGTATCACTTCTTGAGCAGTCTTTCCTGAAAATGTTCCCACTGAGCTTATAATTATCCATGGGTACAGAGTTAGCACACTGTGTGCTCATTTGTATTCTTTCTCTTCTGACTGCTTCAGTTTATAGTATCTCTAGTTTCCTGAAAGTCTACTGGATAGTAATCTTATTTATTATCCCAGGCACAGTGTATAAATAAACAATAGATTCAACTCATAAGACCCTAAATTTATTTCTAAATTCTCAAAATCTAAGCATTCCCCAACTGGATTCCTGTCTCCATCCAAATTACTGTATCTGAAGATGCTATATCTCTTACCCCATTTCACCCTGTAGGAAATTAGTTCCTCTTTTTATGCATTATTATGCATCACAGTCATGCCCATGTAAGGTTAAAATATCAGGCTACCTTAATATTGTCCTCTTCTTCATCTCTCTATTAAAAACTAAAGTTATTTTTTGATATTCCAAAATCCAGGATATTCATTTATATAAGTTTGTTCCTAATTATTAGTTAAGGCAGGCCTGGAAATCATTATTCTTCTGCCTCGACCTAAATAGTTTCAGGATTGAAGGTTTTTGCCACCAATCGAGTCTTAAACTATTTGAAACGTGTCTTTACTAGTCCATATTCATTCATTCTCTGTTGCTATGAATAAAGTACGTGACAGAAGAAATCCATAGCCTATTAGAGTGAGTCTCCATATCTTCACAAAAGCCTCACTTTTGCTTCCAGTGTTCATATAGTCAATTTTGTCTTCCCAGGTAACCAGGTACGTTTTACCCATTTCCATTCTTCCTACCTCACCTTGTACACTGTGATTCTTATATGTCTCTTAGAATTCGCCTCCAGCTGTGTTAGTTACTTTGTTCACTGCTGTGACAGAATTCCTGTGTCAAGGATTTATTTTAGTCAGAGTTTCCAGGAGTTAAGTTCACCGTGCTGAGAAAGCAGGGCATTGCTGCTGGATCTGTGGAAGTGAAAGTGGTGTGGCTCATTCCCAACTCGGTGATTAAGGAAGCAGAGTTTGCACCAGGAATGGGACCAGCTGCAACCTGGATGACCATCATCACTAGTGTCCTATATATGACAGCCAGGCCTTGTATTCCTAAACTTTCGAGACTTCCCTAAACAATGTCACCAACTGAACCAAGTGTTCAAATACACGAGCCTGTGGGAACACCTCCCATCAAACTGTAACAAAGCTAGCAAGGGCAACATCACTGTAGATATTTTTCATGAAAACAGTGTTTTAAGTGGAATCTTTCTGTGCATATGTATTACAAGACAGATGGAAAACACCTGAATTTATGAGTTATGCATAAACTAAATTGTTGCCTAATACCCAAGACTTTCTGAATATACTGCTATTTGTTTTCAATTTAGGATAGTATTAGTAATTAATAAGCAAGTGTTCATTCTTTATTTTTGTCATAGAAAGACTGTGACTCTGAGATAACAAACCCATCCCTAAACACCCACTAAAGAGCCTGATTCAGAAATGACAAAGAAACCAATGTTTCTTTTGGAATGACAATAAAGTAAAAGTGTTTATTTCCCAGACATATGATTTTATTTATGAAACTATTCATTTGTGAGTATAACTTTAGCAAAGCCAAGTAATGTACTGATTGATAAAATAAAGGAATATTTTAAAATAAGACCACCTTTACACCTTTAACAGGTATCTGCCTAGATAGTAGAATTTGGGTGTGCAGTCCTGCGTGGGATTCCACACATTTTCTTTTTTTTTTTTGGTTTTTTTTTTTTTTTTTTTTGAGACAGGGTTTCTCTGTGTAGCTTTGCGCCTTTCCTGGAACTCACTTGGTAGCCCAGGCTGGCCTCGAACTCACAGAGATCCGCCTGGCTCTGCCTCCCGAGTGCTGGGATTAAAGGCGTGCGCCACCACCGCCCGGCCACATTTTCTTACAGAGGAAAACAAAAAGCAGAAGACGGGAAGAATGACACAGAAGGCCGAAGCACACCGTGTATACAAACAAGAAATTCTGACTGCTCTCCTTTTATCGTCCGTGACCTGGCAGACTCTGAGATGGGTGAAGGAATATAGTTTTCTTTCCATTTGTCTTAGTGTTCACATGTATGAGTGTTCATATCCTTACTTGGGTGCTTTAAATGTCTTTGCCATAGTTTTACACTTCATGGATCTTAAATTAATGTCAACTACTTTATTGGGTACTATTAAGAATCAGTAATGATGTCTAAACTGAAACAAAACCTGGTTTCCTGCAGTTTTATTAAAATGTAACTCTGTCCTGTTTGTTGATTCATGAGTGTCTGGCTTTTAATATAACCCTGTATGTGAACATGCTTACCAATTCTTTCATTGTGTTACAAGTATTGTCCACAGCAGTGAGGACACCACTGTTATTAAATTACTTGGACATCACAACATGGTATTATGCTAAGTGCTTACTTAGAAAACTTATTTATGTTTTACAACAACCCTCAGAGATACCATAAACCCATCTTACAAATGCAGTTACTAACTAAATTGAAAAATCTGAATTTCAGAGAGACTAGACAACCCACACTCACATGACATATACACACATAATTAAATATAAAATTAATTTTAAAATGTATTTAATTACCAGGTAGTTAGCTATACACAGGCATATAACTTAGATCCCTGAGTATTTGTAATAAAAGACAGAGTTTAAGAAAGTTATCCACAGACTGGCTTTCAGTTAACAGGGTCTTTCTTGCATCTGCAACTTCTTTGCCCATCAAGACAACCTCAAATTGTAATGGCAAAGAAATAGGTGTATAAAATTAGATACTTAGAAAAAGAATAACAAATGGTGTGCGTGTTTCACAGACATTTACCCTATGTCTAGATTATTACTATTCACTACAAATTTGGCTATTTCCAAGACAAACCATGACAGGAAGAGCAATATGATAAAAAAAAAAAAAAAAAAAAAAAAAAGAAGCTCTGCTTTTCTGTGTGGCTATCTACAAGTCACAAACACTTTGGCTGCCTTTGTGCAGACATTTTTAGTTTTCACAAATGATACGATCAAGTTGACTATACAGTGATCCAGAAGAGACATTAAGAAACAATCTTGATGGGGGCGGTTTTGGTTTTCGCCGCATGCGTCCTGGGAGGGCTCCGGATCCGCCTGCGAGATGAGCCTGGGGACATGAGAGGTGATAGTTACAAGCTGCACAGCTGATTAAGTAGCAGAGGAGATCAGAAATCTGGTTTCCGGCCTCCCAAGTTTGTTAAACATGAGTCTAGGGAAGCAAACCCCTAGTGACTTCTTAAAGCAAATCATCGGACGGCCAGTTGTGGTGAAACTAAATTCTGGAGTGGATTATCGAGGGGTCCTGGCCTGCCTGGATGGCTACATGAATATAGCATTGGAACAGATGGAAGAGTATGTAAGTGGACAGCTGAAGAGTAAGTACGGGAATGCGTTCATCCGAGGAAACAATGTGCTGTATAGAAGTACCCAGAAGAGAAGGATGTGAAGACACCAGGAAGCAGCTCTCCTTAGAGTTGGATAGCATTCGTTATGAAATGTTTTGTTTTGTTTTTTGTTCTTTTATGATCTTCTTTGGTGTGTTTTCATAGTGGTTGGTGTGTTTTGTTTTGGTTTTTTAATTGACATTGAAATAAGATGGAGGTGTTACATTACAAATTGAATCTTAAACTTTTCACTTTTACGTTTACTTCTATCTGTACAGAATGCTAAAGTTAAAAACAAAAAACCCAATTCAAAAAAAAAAAAAAAAGAAACAATCTTGAGGGCTGGAGAGATGGCTTGGAAATTAACAGCACTGTCTGCTCTACCAGAAGTCCTGGGTTCAATTCCATGCACCCTCATGGCAGCTCTTAACTGTCTGCAACTCCAATCTAGGGGATCAGACACCCTCACACAGGTATACATGCAGGCATAACATCAATGCATATAAAATAAATATAAAATATTCTAAAAAAAGAAGCAATCTTGAGGTAAATCGCACTGGCTTTTGTTGAGCTTTACATATTGTCTTCCCAAAGAATCAATTACTGAGTCTCTGCTTTTGGAAGCTGACATCCTTGGACTCTCTGTCAGTGTAAAACTTCTTTGAGAACTTACACTTTCAGAAGAGTTTAATGTGATTCCACTCATCAGTTTCTTTCAGTAGAAAAATATTTCATTTCAAATACTCTTGAAATTTATGAGAATTAGTTCTACTATAGCCCATTTTCTCATTCTTGTAATTTTTATTTTAGCTAGAAGGCATTCTTTTACATTTTTTAAGTAGCAAAGAACTGCACAGCAGTTCTCCCTTTGCTTATATTTTTAGAATGTGTAAGTTCACTCCAAGCAATAGAATACAATAGAATTGAAAAGTAACACACTCTAAACAAATACATGATGTCCCTAAATCTGTGAAAAGAGAGCTGTCTGTCAACTCAATGTTACACTTTTACACTATTTAATAGCTCAATAAGAAATTTCAAGACTTTCAGCATTTTTTTTATCTTTCTCAAGATTTTGTAGAATCTATATTTTAAAAATTAAGGTAGAAAGCCTCAAAGTAAAATATGTTTTATCAAGCTAGTTGAATGTGCCAAATTATGCCCAGATGTTTTGAAGTTATCTGCAAGTGTGAAGTTTAAGGAGAGAAAATTTAATTCTCTGTCCTTCACCTATGCTGAGCTATCAAATCCATACTTATATGAGACAGATCTTACTGTGTAGCCTGGCTGCTGGAAGTTTCTATGTAGAACACCTGGCCCTTAACTGACAGAGCTCCTCATGACTCTTCATTGCATGCTGGGATTAAGAGTATGAGTCGTCATACCTGGCTTAGACAAGTTTTTGAAATGAATTGTTTACGTAAGTTAGAGCATAATGCAGATTCTTTATAACATTTTCATTCATGTGCACCATCACACCCTCTCATAACACTGGCATCTATCTGAATGCCTTCTTGTGTCTCCCCCACTCTTTTTTCACTTAGTAGATCCCTTTTTGCTTTCCTGTCAAATGAATTCTATTACTGACCCTATTTTAATCTTGACCTGTTTCCTAAAGATATTTTTGTCCCTCTCACAATTTCTTTCTCACTTTCATGAAGTATAGATATGCATAGATGTATATGCATACGCATACACAGATAGATAGATATAAACAGATATTCCACATATGAGGAAAGTGTGGTATCATCTGTACCAAACCTATCATATTCATCTTAACATAAGAATTGAAGCTCCGTTCAGCCTTCCTTTGAATGCCTTGGTTTTTGTTTCCTTTACAACTGAATGGAATTATAGTATGTACATGTGTTAAAGATTATTTATAATATTATATTTATATTTATAATATTCCTTAGTCGGGTGGTGGTGGCATATGCCCTTAATCCCACCACTGGGGAGGCAGAGGCAGGTGGGTCTTTGTGAGTTCAAGGCCAGTCTGGTCTACATAGTTCCAGGAAAGCCAGAGCTGTTACACAGAGAAGCCCTGCCTCAAAAAACATATTATACATTCCATCTGTTGATTTGTGTGGCCCTTGTTACTGATTTCTACTTCTATTACACAATGATCTGATAAGATATAAGTTATTTAAAAATATTTATGTAGATGTAATTCTAAACAGTCTTATTAAATAAGAAACACAGAGCCAAATAGTTAAAAGCCCAGAGATCTAGCAGAAGCCAAGAGCTAAGACCACCTTATCTTACCATTAGCTGCTGTCCTTCCCCTGAGAGAGAGACCTTCTTCCTGTGTCCTGTCTTTTTATTGCCTTTCTGTTCTGCCTTCTCACTGGTTCTAAACCCAACCACATGACTTCCTCGTCACTGCCTATCTATACAGACCTCCAGGTCTCTATGGTTCGTACTGAGATTAAAGGTTCGCATCACTGCTTGGCTGTGTCCTTGAACACACAGAAATTCTGCCTGCCATGTGATCAGATTAAGGGCATGTGCCGCCACCACTGGACTTCTGCTAAATGACTTGCTCTTAGTTCTGATCTCCAGGCAACTTTATTAACATACAAATTGTGGGAGCCCATTCTCGGGTTCCTCATGGCTTTACCCAGCAGGTTTGCATAGAGGATGATTAGGACCACGGGCCTGAGTGCAGGTGTCTGAGATGGTCTGCATTTGGCTGTGCTGGGGGGGAGGTCTTTTGCTCCACCCCTTGGCGTTTCTATAGAAACCCTGGGGCAGAGACAGTCTGGAATAGGTTCCGTTGGAATAGGTTCCAGGCCCTCTCCAGGCTATCCTTTATTTTCTATCTGTTTATCTCTGCGATATTCTCCGCAATAAATCCTTCTATCTAATATTTCCTGCTGCTCGAACTCAAGAAAACTCTGGGGAACTGTGGGGGTGGTGGGTAAACGCCCCACAACAAATAAAATCACATTTCAGCACAAATAAAATATCACCATATATTTGAATTTGTTGATTTATCTGATGGTGTAGAACATGATCTGTTTTAGCGAACATTCCTTATATTTACAAATAGAAAATCTGTGGTAAAACAAGGATCTATGATAAGAGATAAAAGAATAGAGAATCCATTCATTAAAATTATAGCAGATTTTTTTTAAAATTAAGAGGAAGTAATTAACGGTCAACCAAAAGAGGCATTGAGAAGTCACTCCAACCCAAATTGGATGTGAGGCTCCTCTGGTTGTGGTTTGCTCTGATGCCAATTTATTTTCACCAAGGTCAGTTCAAAGATCTTTCTTGCTCCACAATAGCATATATATATATACATACATAATACAATTACTTCATTTTTCCCTTCTCTTTCCTCCCTCCAAAACCCTCCCATGTACCACCACTTGCTCTCTCTTTTAAATTCATTCATAACCTTTTTCTTTGTTTATATATATGTTGGCTGTATAAATATTCTTCAAAAATATATAAATAAGCCCATTTCATAAACCGTAGCTTGCTTAATCTTTGAATTAACAGCTAATGTATATATCAGCAAATATATACCATATTTATCTTTCTGGTACTGGGGCATCTCACTCATTATGATTTCTTTCTAATTTCATCCATTTATTTACAAGTTTCATGATTTTATATTTTTAATAGAAAAATAGTATCCCATATGTAAATGCACATTTTCTTTATCCATTCATCCATTAGAGGACAACTAGATTTTTTCCAAATACTGGCTATTATGAATAGAGCAGCAATGAATATGGTAAGTGTTTCTGTAATAGGATGAAACATCCTTTGGATATGTCTAAGAGTGGTACAGCTGGATCTTGAGGTAGACCTTTCCCAGCTTCCTGAGGAAGTTCCACACTGATTTCTATAGAGGCTGTATGAAAACTTACAAGAAAGATGCCTGTCCCAAATTAGTCACAGTTTGTTTCTAAAAAAATATCCAGTAAAATACTATGTGTATAGGATTTTGTAAAATGTTTTAATATGGAAGTAAATAAAAGTGACAATGTTGATAGAGGTCATTTCATTTCTGATATTTCATAGAATGTTTACACTACAGATATTCAAGTATACTACTGAGCCCTTGAAATTATTACAACAAAACACTGAAGAAAATTAACCTCATTTATAAGTTTTCAAGGGAATAGTTTACATTTCCACATTTTTGAAATTACATTTTAGTTAGATTAGTGTCATATAGGAACTTTCTCATCTGTGCTGCATGTCAAGGGTAAATTTTGAGACTGTGAAAGAGCAGAATGTGTGTGGTGTTTATCCTGAGTGTGAACACTTTAGCTCAAACAAACTTATATGACATGTGGATAAAAGTAAATTCTCTCAGCTTTTTGAGGACTTCCAAGTGTTATGAATAGTCTCCTTCTCACAGGACTATGTGAAAGATATATTTGGTGAATGAAGAATTTCCTGTGCATTAATCTATTTCACTGGAAACTGCAGGAATTGCCTTCTCTATTTCAGGGATGAATCTTAGAAAGAATCAATAAGAAAAAGTTGGATATCTACCAAACTTTGTTTTTTCTCTCTCTCTCTCTTTCTCTCTCTCCAAACACATACAAAAACAATAAAAAGTGAAACGGGGAAACATGATCAAAATATATTGAATGTACTGTATGAAAAATTATTTTTAAACACATATTTAAAGGACCCATTTCTAAAAGGCTGGACACTGCTAGGCATCTTTCCTGTAAATTTTCTGAATCTCTTGACTAGCATTTTGCCTGATTTGACTGGATCCTTGAATAATGTGTGTCATCCTACACAGAGGTAAAATTGAGTTAGCTCTTATCAGGAAAGGAGAGCAGAAGAATGTTAAATAAAAAAATAAGATGCTGCAGTTTCACAGTGAACTGGATTGATAATGAGAAAAACTAGCATAATAGTCTTTGAATAGATGAAAATGAGTGAAAAAATCATGAGAATGAGCTTGACTTATCAGAAAGAAAGGTTATTTAATTCACTGGGGAAAAGGAGTTCAAAATACCTTGATTAGGAAGACTTATTAAAGCTTTCTTGCAGCAGCAATGAATAGGAAGTCACAACTGACCAACTTAACTACAGTTTAGTACATTTCGAAGAAAACAATATCATACACTTAAGTAAATGCAGGATTCAGAATTCAATTATAAGTTTTATTATTAATTGCTGTGG